GCCATAATTATCCAAGTTTTCTTCCAAGACTTCTCTGTCTGCGTCTGCTCCAGTCTTCTCTTGCCCTGCAAAAATTTCCTCCAGGTACCAGCTGAATCATCTGTTATCATCTCTTGAATCCAATCTGCTCAGGCTATAGTTCCGCTATTGCACCAGAATGGCTATTACTGAGGTCACTGGTGACTTTTGTATTGCTAAATCCAGTAGACAGTTCTCAGTTATCTTCTTAATCTGTCCACATCATTTGTCACGAGTGACTCCAGTCTTAAATACTTTTCTCCAGGATGCCATACTATCTTGGTTTTCCTCCTACCTCACTAGTTGTAATTTCTTCCTCTACTACTCAGCCTCTGCATGATAGAGGGCCCCAGGCTCAGTCCTCATAAGGTTTTGTTGTTTTTATTTGTGTGTGTTTTTCTTTCAATCTACACTCACTCCATTACTGATCCAGTCCAATCTTCTATCTGTAAATACCATCTACATCAAGCATGTCAAACTCAAAGGCTAACATGGGCCATATAAACAAGGTTTAAGTTTATGTGGGCCACAAAAAAACAAAAGCTTCAGTTTTCATAGAAACGTAGGTTTATTTCGATAGAGACATGCTGAAAACAAAGGGCTGAAATAAATGAGTTATCAGTAACATAAAATAATAGAACATTTTAATAAAAATTAATATTTTTTCTTGAACATTAACTTACCAGACACCGCATAACTGCACAAATTAATAAGCATAACGCAAATAAACCTATTTTTCTTGTTCTCTGAAAGCTAAATATTACCCGTTGAGCACACCAAACAAGTCAGTCCAAGACTAATGATGTGGCAATCGACTGCTAAAATATTCACTGCTAGTATTAGTGGAGAGAAATGGTGCGCCTGCATGTAAGGTGCGTAAGGGAAATGAATGCAACACAATTATAGTAATCAGTCATTAACGAACGTTGTAGTTCGTTATTAAAAATTATGTGTAACAGGATATTGTAAATATTAAGTCATGAAATTTTCATTAAAATGTTTCTTACATACCATTATATTGGCTGGGCTGCAAAAATACTCGTTGTGGGCCGTGAGTTCGACATGCTTGATCTATATGCTAATGACTCCTCAGTTTATATCTGTAATCCAAATCTCTCTCCCTGAACTTGACTCTTATAGCTAACTTCCTACTAATATCTCCACTAGGAAGTCTAGTAGACATCCCAAATTTAATATATTCAAAATTAAACTCTTAACCTTCCCCTAAAAATGTGCTTCTCCTATGGTGTTTCCCATTTGAATTTATGGTAACTCCAGCTTTCCACTTGCTAAAGCTAGAACCTTGGATTCTTACACTCTGCATTACCCTATCACGAAATCCTTCCAAATGTATCCCAATCTGACCACTTCACTGTTATCCCTCTGTGCACTCACCTGAATGATTATGTAACACCCTAACTGGTCCTCCTCAGCTTTGATGTCCTACCTCCTGTTCACAACGCAGGAGCCAGAGTGGCCCTTTGAACATAAGTTAGAGTATATCACGGTGCAAACCCTGCAGTGGCTCCCCACTACACTCAGAATAAAAACTAAAGTTATAAAAGCCTGCAAGACCAATCTGAACCCCTGTTATCTGTATGATCTTCTGTCCTACTCCTCCTCTGAGCCTGGTGGTTCAACCACACCAACTTCTTTGCAATTCAGACGTCTCACTGCTCCTGTCCTGGGGCCTTTGCTCTTGCTCTTTCTTCTTCCTGGAAAGCTCTTTCCCAGAGGGCTCATGGCTGACTCCCTAACTTCCTTTAAATTTTTGCTTAAATGACACCATCTCTGTGACGTCTGCCCTAACCATTATAACCCTTTATCCTGGGCTATCTTACCCTCCTGGGTTTTCCTTCCAGACCACTTAATTACCTTCTGTTCAGTGAACTTACCTGTTTTGTTTACTTGACTGTTCTCTCCATGCTGGAAAATAAGCTCCATAAGGGCAGGGATTTGTCTCCGTTTTCTTCATAATGCCTGCCTGAAGCAATGCCTAGCACATGTAATTAATAAATACTGAATTGAGTTAAAGTAAACTTAGATATTTATGTCTGAAAATCTTTGGGAGATCTTAAGGTTCACTTGAGTAGATTTTCCAGCCATGATAAAGATTTGTGAGTCCCAAACATAAAGAACTCACATTTGACCAGGAAGATTTAACAGCTATAGGTCTACATGTACTGTTATCATACTCCTTAATGTCATTTGGTATTAAATTTATGTTTAGTCCAGTGATTTATACAGGACTGGATTTTAGATTGCCTTCCCTCCCATAAAACTAACAAGGCTTTAATCAGGGCATTAAGGATCTTAAATAGTCCTTGCTTTTAAATCTGCATATCAGGAGGGGGCAGGGAGCATGAGTGGGAGGATGTCATGTCCCAGTGATTAATGATCTCTAGGAAGCTGAAAAGGGGAGAGTAATATACACAGTATTTCTAACCCCTGGAGTAGGAATGCAAACACCATTGTGTGGATCTGTGCATAGTCACTGACTTCCTGGTAGCTGGAGAATTTCATACACTCTTCTACCACAAATAAAACTGTCAGAGAAGTGACAGAGCTCAAAAAGCTGGCCTTCCTTACTTAAAAAGAATAGCTCAAACACAGTGAGCCAGAAAATTAATTTTGTAGTTGTTTGGGAACCCAGTTGTTTAATAAGAAATGAGAAAATGGGGACTTTTCTTGAAAAGCCTAAAACCTCCAAATATTTGTTGAATCAAATTCTACATTTGGTTTCTTAAACTTACCAAATTCCTGGAACCTGCTTATTTTAAACGAATTTAAAGGGAAACATTCCTTTGTAAGGAAATGCATTGTCTTAAACTGTTCAGTGTGGTTTCTATGGAAGATTCGGAGAATTATACTATTGATGGACTCTGGAGCCAATTGCCCTAATGTGTTTTTTAAAAAGACAAACCTAACATTTCAGAATGGTTTGTACAGTTTTAGAAAGTAATTCTAAAGTAAAGTTCTTTTGTTTATTTTAATCCTAGTGAATGTATGATATTTAATAACAGTTCCCAAATGTTTAAGTCAGAAGCAAAACACTTTTAACTATAGATAAGGAACTCCAGATGTTTGCAAATTTTTTTTAAAGTTTGTGAGGAAAGCATTTTATTTAAACTACTTGTGGTTATTTACAAATAACTAAAATTAGGTGATTTGTTTAATAGTAATGGTAATAGCAGCAGCAGCAGCAGCAGCAGCTATAGTCGATTTTTAGTGAGGACAATGAAATAACTTGTATTTTACCAGGAACCATTCATTCTTAGGACTTGTTAAATTATTTTTGCTCTTGACTCAGAAATTTTAATACCTTGACATTACCATTCATTGTTCTGCATTGTCTAATTTTTAAACTTTGATTTCTTATGAAATTTTCCATATTCTAAAAAGAAAGAGAATACTCATTCTGTGTGAAATAGAGCCACACTTCAGGGTAAAGGAGAGGAAAAAAATCCTTGTATTTTATTTCTGTTTTGATGTTGTTTATTTTGTTTTATTCTTGAGAGTGTCACTGTAGTCTAAATTAAAAGAAACTACTGTGGTCTAAATTAAGACAGCATCAAATAGATTAAGCTCTGAATTTGGTTTCCAAGTGGTTAGACTTTTAAATTGCATTTGCAAGAGTTTATTTTTAGTCAGGATGTGGCTATTTTTAGATCTGCTTCTCTGTCACTAGGAAATGTAATGCCTGTCTTTCCATTGTTGTTTATCAGGAAGTTCTGAGACACAGGTTTATAAGATCCAGTTAGCACAGAACACCGCTTCTCCTTTTAGATGAAAGAATATGAAATCGTGCATGAAGGAAACTATGTTAATTGAGAACATGTCTAATTTTTAAATTTTTAGTGTCATTTTAATCTCTTGTATACTGAGCAACAGTGCCAGATTTTTAGGGAATACCAAAAAATATAAGGTTTGAGTTCCCCCTGCTGGTGTGCATTCCAGGCTTGTGCATTCATTAACATATAGCAGAAAGGCCTACCATGGTCGGCAAACTGCGGCTCGCAAGCCACATGCGGCTCTTTGGTCCCTTGAGTGTGGCTCTTCCTAAGCCTTAGGAGTACCCTAATTAAGTTAATAACAATGTACCTACCTATATAGCTTAAGTTTAAAAAATTTGGCTCTCAAAAGAAATTTCAGTCGTACTGTTGATATTTGGCTCTGTTGACTAATGAGTTTGCCGCACTGGCCTGGGCCAGGGTCAAAATACCGACTTCTGCGCATGGGCCACGAAGTTTCAATCGAACTATACATGCACACCTGCACATGGCATTTTGTGGAAGAGCCACACTCAAGGGGCCAAAGAGCTGCATGTGGCTCACGAGCCGCAGTTTGCCGACCATTGGCTAGGCAATATAGGAAATTGTTGTGTTGGCCATTTTTAAAAAAGACCTGTGATAAGAGTGCAAGAAAAAGCACCATTACCCATTTTCTGCAAATGTCTTACAAAAAAATGGGATGATCTAAAAATTGTATTTTTTACATCTAGAAAGAACAAAACTTAATCTTATATTTGATTTTTAATGTTGTTGCCTCCGTGATAAGCTGCTTATATACAGTGCTTTTCAAATGCTTTATGTTGTAATCTAAGGAATAATAAAACACCAGTGTATCCACAAAAGGATTTAAAACCCCAAGGAAAAAATGCAAAGGCAGCATTGGTCATAATAAAATGGAAGACTGGCGTTAAAGCTCACTAATTCCTGTTTTAGCATTTCAGAAAGTGACATGACATCATGTGATTGTGTGTGTCCATTTAACATCTGTTCTTTCTAGTTTGTCTTATGTGTATTTGAAACAGTTCTCTTTATTTCCTATCTCTTAATAAACGCAAGTAATATTAAAGGCTATTTTGAAAAAGAAAAATTTTAATTGACTCCTAAAAGTCATTTCTGAACTTGTTATTGTGTTTGCATTTTAAAGGACTATTCAATCAAATTAAAACATTGTCTTTTTAAATTGCTTTTCAGCAATGCAGTCAACCTTTTAAGCAATGTTCCGGTCTCTTGTTTGGACGTTCTCATTTGTCCATTAACACATGAAGAAACAACCCACGAGGCAACGACTCTAGATGAACTGCCCAGTGATAAAACAGCTGAGAAAGAAACAGTTTTGAAAAACAATACCATGGTATACAATGGTATGAATATGGAGGCCATTCATGTTTTACTCAATTTTATGGAGAAGAGAATAGACAAGGTAAGGCTGATAAAATGGAGGCCTTGGGAAAATGCTTATAAAGAATGTAAATGTGCCATATATACAAACATCGCAGGACATGATTTTTAAATCTAAGCTTTTCAAAATAGCTGATGCCTTGCATAATTATTTGTACTCTGGAAAGCACTTTGTTCCAATATATGATAAATTGATGAAACCAATCGAATTTATTTCTTTAAAGCTGAAAATTGTGTTGCTGCAACACCAAAATTATGACTATTGCCTAAAAACAAAGGAAAAATTACTTTTCTATATAGGTGTTTTGTAAATCCTAGAAATAAAAATTATCGCCTCCCTGAAAAATTTAATAATAAACGCATTCTGTACTATCTAAAAGACATCCTTAAAAGAAAAATCACCACCTTTCCATTTGTTGTCAGTTGCTTATTTTCTATCGTCTATCACTTGCTTTGTCAGGTAACTATATTGAAAGGCAGCAAGGTAGTTTGGTGGGTCATCAAAGCCTTTGCCTCACTTAAGCTCATTGATTAAGCCAGCGAGGATCCTACAAAAAGTAGCAAAATTCAGGAAGGATAAAAGTAATCCTTAGTAAACTCGAAGCTAATTGATGAAATGGAAATATTGTTAGGAAAATAATTTTTTTTATGGTTTTTAAAGCTTGGGTAGCATAAAGTGTTCCCCCCTCAAAAAGGAGTATTATAACATGCTCAGTTATATGGAAGAAAGTAACACTATTAGTAACTACACTAATGTAGCATGTATGGCTTCTTTTTCTAGGGAAGCAGCTATAGAGAGGGCCTAACTCCAGTTCTCAGCTTATTAACAGAATGCTCCCGAGCCCATCGAAACATCAGAAAATATCTCAAAGATCAGGTAACTGCTTAATGCACATAACAACTTAAAGTTAATTTTCTTTGTTTTGTTTTTTAAACATAGAATTAATGAGTTGAATTCTCTCATAATTTTTTCTTTTCACAAGGTCAGAAACTTAGAAAAGTTTGTATTAATCTTTGAAATCTTCCTAATCCAGAAATAAGTGATCCTGTGTATTTTTTGTCATTTATTCATTTATTCAACAAATATTCATTAAAATCTATTATATGCTGTGTTCTAAGCATTGAAATACAAATAAAGTCTTCGCCATGTGGGGTTTACCTTATAGTGGGGGGACAAAAAGTAAAAATATATATGTGTGTGTGTTTGTGTGTGTGTGTGTGTGTGTGTGTGTGTATGTATGACATAATGGCAAGTAGTGATAAGTGTTCTGAAGTTAGGTACAGTAGGGGAAAGGGAGACCTAGGGGAATGAGGGAAGGCCTCCCTGAGGAAATGAAATTTGAGCAGAAACTTGATAAGTAGGAAAAGGATCTCTGAAAATATTCTGGAAGAAGAATGTACCAGAGAGAACAAGTTCAGAGTCCCTAAGAAGAGAGGATGCTTTGGAATGCTTAAGGAAAAGCAAGAAAGCTAGATAAGTGTGCAAGGGGGAAGGGGGAGAGTGATGGATGAAGTAAAAGTTATAAACAAGAACTAAATAATGTAAGAGTGTATAGGACCTTTCATTCTTTTTAAGTGAAATGGGGAAGCATTGGACCATTTGGAGTAAGGGAATGATGTGACCTCATTTATATCTAAAGATAACTCTGGCTACTGTATGTAGGATAGACTAGAAGAGTATGAGTAGATGTGAGGATACTAGCCCAAAGAGAACTGATGATGAAGGTTTGAAGTAGGATGTTAGGAGTTAGAGATCATAGTAAGAAATCATCTTTTTGCCCAGCAGGTGTGGCTCAGAGGTTGAGCGTCGACCTATGAACCAGGAGATCACGGTTCGATTCCCAGTGAGGGCACATGTCCTGGTTGCGGGGTTGATCCCCAGTAAAGGGCATGCAGGAGGCAGCTGATCAGTGATTCTCCCTCATCATTGCTGTTTCAATCTCTCTCTCCCTCTCCATTCTTCTCTGAAAGCAATAAAAATAATATTTTTTAAAAAGAAAGAACTCTTTCCATCACTTCATCTGTACCACCATATCTTTTGTCTTCCCCTCTATCGCATGGTTGAATTGTCCCTGCTTTTTCTGTGGCTAGCCTCTGTGCTTTTTTCCTGGATCCCTTTCCCTCTCACCTTCTCAAGAACTTTGCCTCTGCATTTAGTTCCTCTCTTTCTTCTTACACTGATATTTTTTTTAATGTACTCAATCATTTCTGTCTGCATCCAAATACATCTTCTATTATAACAGCAAAAGAAACCCTCCCTTAATCCCACTTTGCAAGCTGCCTCCCCATTTCTCTGCTCTTCTTTATGCAGAGTTCCTCAGAAGAGTTTTCTATACTCTGTCTTTTCTTTTTACTCATCTTTGATCTCATTCGGCAGTCATGATTTTGAAAACCATCTAAATACTTATGACTCCTAAATTGCTATCTCCAGCCGTGACCTTTCCCCTAAGCTCCAGACTTAAATAACAAATTGCCTACTCATCTCCTCCCATTGGATGTGTAGTAAGAATCTTAAGTTTAACATATCCCAAACTAATCTCCTGATTTCCCACCCTGTTTCTTCTCTTTCTTTACACATTACAGTACATGGTACCGCCAGTCACTTACTTGTTTATTTATTGCCATATAGGATATCACCAGGTTGATTTTCCCCCTCTATGTTTATGGTCAAGATTTAGTAAGCACTTTTACTATGTATAGAGCACATTAATAGTTATTGCTGATGAGGAAGTAGAGAGTCTATCTTTGAGGGATTTGCAGTCTATTGGAGTAAGAGAGAGGCATCATGAGAGCATAAATAATCACTTAAGCAAAATAAACTTGTTAATTAATGAATTAAGGTCATTTCCAACTTTGAGTATGGTAAGACATTCCACCATGACTAGGAGGACTTGATGAAGAAGAATAAATGAAAATTCAGTTTTATACATTTCAGCTTTTTCACATAGGAGATCCAGTTATAACTAAGCTATTTAGATTTTCTATCTATAACCAAGACAGCCAAAAAATATCTATTTGTTAAACAGCTCCTTTATATGAAAGCCTTGGGTTACACATGTATATTCAAAAAATTATGAGGCCCACCCCTTGTTCTCAAAGAAACACTACAGTATAGATAAAGTAAAAGATAACTAAAGACACAAGGCACAATACAAAAATCCACTTTTCCTTCTAAGGAAGATGGACTATAATCTATGATGTTTGAGAAAGGTAGAACTTAAAGGAACAGATGATTAACTTTGATAATATTGTAAATGGAACCATGCCTAATTAATTATTATGCCCTACAGTTAGTGCCTGATTAAGTCCTACTCATGCATACCCAAAGGAAATTGGTCTTGAGTATTCTGTATTTGAGCGGGTAGAAAAAGAACAGTTACAGATGGTAGAAAATTACTGATCCAGGTTGGGTTAGTCTGGAGAGGCATATAGAAGAGATGAGGCTGCTGTGGGTTTGAAAGAGAAGCTGGACAAGATTTTTCACAAAAAAAAATTATTGGAGGGTAGTATTTGGGAGATAATAGAAAGAGTCCATACCGATGGAGTTTGTCTGGGAGTCATATATAGACAGTAAAAACAACAAAATTTCACTTAAACTTGTTTTAAGAAGCCTAAAATATAGCTAACAAAATTTTTGTGTGATAATTTTTATTAATAGATTCTGTACTCTGGAACTATAGGCACATATTACAAGAAATCACTTGTTACATTTCTCAGTCTTTCTACAAATAGGAGGTAAACTTAGTATGGTTGGTTGAATCAAATAAGAATTTATTGTGCAATTACTTTGTGGCTATAGTGCACAAAGAGCATTGTGCTCTACCCTTCCAGAGATATTAAAATATGCATTCTGTAAACCTTTTGGGTAGAGTACTCAATTTTCTGAGACTTAATTTCCATTTTTATTTACTGTTGTATTTCCAGTACTTTTTGATACATGGTAGGCATTTAATATAGAGATTGAGGGAAGGAAGGGAAATAAGTTGAATGAACTAAGTAAAATAATATACACATAAAGGGTCTGGCACAGTAAATTATTTGACTTTATATCTATCCCCATTTGTTAGCATAGTGCCTAATTTATAGAAGGCAGGCAGTAAAGAAATAGAGATATACAGTGTCAGGTGGTGATAAATGCTGTGAGGGAAATTAAATTGGGGTGGTTAAAAAGAGAGGCTAAAGGCTAATTATGTAGATAGTCAAGAAATGTCTTCATATAACTGACATTTGAACAGTGACCTGAGGAAGTGAGGGAATAAGCCATGTAGGTTTCTAGAAAAAGAGTTTCTGAGCAGAGGGAGCAGCAATTGCCAAGACCATGAAGCAGGAAAGTGCTTGATGTGTTTAAGGAGTTCCATGAAGGTTTGTGTGGCTGTAGCAATGTAAGCAAGTAATAGAAAACAAGTCAGGAAAGTAGCACGAAGCTGGAAAATGTGAAGCCTAAAGGAGTTGTAAGAACCCTGTCTTATACTAAGAGTGAGATGAGAAGCCATGAGAACTAGAGGACTTTGAGAAGAGGAATGACATGTTCTGACTTTCAAAGAAGCATTCTGGCTGCTATGTAGAGAATAAATCGTAGAAGGACCAGGGTAGAAGCAGGGACCACTTAGAAAGCTATTGCAATAGTCCAGATGAGAAGTAATTCTTGCATTTGGTAATACTAGACAAGGGAGTAAGAAGTGGCTGGATTGTAGATATATTTGAAGGTGGGGTTGAAATAATTTGCAGATGGATTTGATGTGGTATGAAAGAGAAGAGTCAGGATATTTCCAAGGTTTTTATACCAGACAGAGGAATGGCTTACCGTTCACTGCGATAGAAAACCATAGAAGAAACAGCTTTGCTGGGAGCATCAAGAGTTCGCTTTAGGACATGCTCAATTTGAGAGGCCTATAAAAGTCTGGAGGCCAGGGAAGGAATCAAGATGGAGATGTAATTTAGGGAGCTACCAGGATATAGAGACCATCTATACTAATAAAAGGGTAATATGCTAATTAGACCGGATAGACAGGACGTCCTACCAGACAAAGCTGCGGCGGCTGTGAAGGCCGAGGGCAGGTGGCAGCCACGGCAGCTGCAAGGGCCAAGGGCAGGCAGCCGCGGTGGCCAGCAGTGGCAGCAGCAGCAGGGTGATGGGGGCAGTGCCTTCCCCTGATCTGTCCGGTCACCTCCCACAGAGGGAGGCCAGACTGCGGCGCGGGGAGTGGGCCTAAGCCATCCCAGACTGTGAGATGGGGAAAGCCGGGCTGAGGGATCCCTCCCCCCCAGTGCATGAATTTTCATGCACCGGGCCTCTAGTTTATTTATATGCACTACGAA